CATGTTGAGATGATAGAGGCCAGATTCTTGCTTAGCTGTACCAATCGTTTCGTGGGATGAAAGATCCTGAATTAAGCAAGAATTGGCAGTAAATTGTAATGAACAATTTGATGACTTGACTAGTTTAGAAACTGATACGAGGTTAAATGTGAAAGCAGGGATATATAGAACATCATATAGAGTAAGTTTAGGAGTGATTTTAATGTTCCCTATGTGTGTAACTTGAACTTTTACACCATTTGGTAACGAAACAGACACATTATTTATGGTTTTATAAGAGTGAAATAGATGCAAAACAGAGACAACATGATCAGTAGCACCACTATCTACTATCCAATCCATGGAAGTTAAAACTGAATTGATAGAGAATAGATGTGTACCAGTATCTTCTGTGGAAACAATGTTGATCTCAACATGTTGTGGAATATAACCAGAATCAGCAGGCTGAGGGACTGTGCCAGAATTAGCAGTCGGAGGAACAAGGCCAGAATCAGCTGAAGTATGAATAGGAACTTCTGGTGTGGGAGTAATCTGTCTAGTTGAGGTGACCAGATTAGCTACCGGAGTAGCATAAAGACGCTGCACTTGCTGAGACTGAGTCTGATTCAGAAGAGACTGATACTGGGCTCTGGTAAGTACCACAGAGTCATCAGCAACCACTCCAGTAGGTGGATTAGGAGACTCAGAGTCTGCCATAGCAGCATTGACTCGTCGATGCTTATATCCAAGAGGATATCCATGGAGCTTGTAACAACGATCCACTGTGTGCCCATATCCTTCACAATGAGTGCAGTAAGGTCACTTCTTACCCCCACCAGGACCTTGAATAGAAGACCCCTGACCCTTGCCCTGACCAGAATGTTGTCCCTTCGATGTCCCATGAGCAGCAAGAGCAGTAGGAAGTGATGAAGGCAAACCAGACTGCCGTTCATGCTGAGCTAGGCTAGAGAACACCTTATTAATAGAAGGTAGTGGATCATTCAACAATAGTTGAGACTTGATATGACCAAAACTCTCGTTCAGCCCTTTCAGAAACCTAATAACCTGATCCCTACGCACATACTCCCGTGGAATCGACGAAGCAGAGCAAGCACACTTAGGATTGCAAGTGCTTACAGGGAGAGGCCTAAGAATCAAGAATTCTTCCCATAATACCCGAAACTTGGTAAAATAAGCACTGATAGGCATCGAACCTTGTTTGAGAGAAGCAATCTCATCATAGATATCCGAAATTCGGATCTCATTACCTTCACTGAAACGCTCTCGAAGGTCCTCCCAGGCTTCTACAGCTGTGTTGAACCACAAAATACTCTGTGCAATCTCGGGTGAAACTGAACGCTGAATCCATCCAAGCACGAGAACATTGGCCTGATCCCAAGCACTCCAGAGAGGATCACCTGGAGACGGGACCGGTGAACCAGAATCAATCAATGGGAGCTTGTTTCTTGCATGCAATCCCATTCGCATCGACCGCGCCCAGCTGTGGTAGTTGGAACCAGAAAGAGGCACCGTCACAAGCTGCTAAGCAGAGAGATCGCCATTGGCCACAAAGAAAGGATGCGCCGGCGAGAGCGAAGCGCCGATAGACGCCGAACCACCAGCCATAGCACTAACCGGAGGAACACCGCTAGGAGGAGCACCTCCCAACGCAGCACCAGAAGACGGCGGACAGAACGTCGCGTTGACGGCAGAGAAAGACGCCATCAATCTAGATCTGAGACTTATGAAAGATTCGACTGAAAGAAGGCAAGAGCCACGATCGTCGCAGAGGAACGAATCACAGAAAACGAACTAAACGAAGAACAGAGGAAGCGGAAACTAGACGAATCGATCGAAGAACAATCGAGAAGAAAAAGCAGAGGAGAGAGAAACGAACGAGCTGTTCACTTCTCCTGGAATCCTGGAGAAACAGAAAGAAAATGACTGAATAGTCAAAGAAAACAAGAAAGGTGAAATTCACCCTCCGATACCATGTCGTTTTAGAGAAGCCTTTAGGCAGATTTTATTAATTAGGAAAGAAAAGTTACAATATCCTTTACATATCCATCTATATATACTAATCACTAATTACCTATACAGTACTTACAAAATATACAGTTTACAACTATACCTATGAACTAAGTAAAACCTACATCTAAGTCCTCGTCGTTTCCTCCTTGGACAACTCCATAACTCACAATCTCCCACTTGCACTAAAGTCTATCATCTGGCGAATACCCATAAACTAGGAATGTCCATCGTGCTTTTGTTGTGTGAGTTAGTTTTGTTAGTGGATCCGCCGAATTGCACTTCGACGTGATAATGAACACATGTACCTCGTCATGCTCCACTACTTTTTGAATCAAGTGGAAACGTCTAATAACTGATATGGATCTCGGGTGAGACCTTAGTTCCCTAGTCTATGGCTCCATTTTTGTTACAGTAGAGCTTTATGGGGTCTAGAATGGTAGGAAGAACACCAATTTCAGTATTGAACTTTCTTATTCACATTAGCTAGTCAAATCTCTCTCGCAAGAGGCGCATGCATGGGTAGAGAATGACCTTAGAGGAAGGCATAGAGCATCATGATAGATGATGCATAGATGCATCTTATTGAGGAAATTGTATGCATGACCATCTGGAATGAGCTACCTAAACATTACTTTCTTTGCTTGCATTCTTGTTTTGCTTTGTTTATTTGCATAGTAGCTCTCAACCCATTAGTTTTACTTTCTTGCATTGCATCCATTCTAATTAAATTGGTTAGATTTGAATAGTTTCTATTAAAAGACCCTGTAAAATACGACTCTAGCCATATCTATGATTTTATCACTGGTATATTTACTACGCATCAACCTTACCCTACACACCCACTTCACTAGTAACATGGGGACACTAATTTTTTTTTCTTCTTTTTTCTCCAAGTCATGGGAACAACAATGTGTTGGTAGATGACACACATTATTTATGTGGGCAAGTGGCCATTTTCAATTTGTCAAGTTCAATCAACTAGTAAATTAGTCAAACTAGGAGCAAGTGATTGTCATTTATAGTTTAGTAAACAACAAATTGTTTTTGGGATCAACTTTTATCTCTCATTGATAAGTTCAACCATCTAGTAAATAGTCAAACCCAACAACCTCTACTTACAATCTCTCTCTGTCAAACAAACAAATGTAACATATTTTATCACCCAAAACAGAGCACAAGATGATACTTAAGCCCCCATACAAGCAAAACACATGGCTTGACCCGAGAAGATGCTCATTGGAAGAGGCTGCTGCTATGAACTAGTCAACTAGAGGAGAGCCATATATGTTTGACTTCGCAGTTCGCAACCACAACTAACAGCAAGACAACAACAACAACAACAACCACCGGCGATAATGGTAAGAACACTTCAAATTGTCAACCCCATTGGGAACCAATTTATTGCCCTGCACACTGCCCTCCAGTCCAGAATATATGTTAAACAATAATGAATACATCGCTGTTTATGTTTGAATAATTATAATTCCGATTCCTTTTCATGAGCTAGGAAGGAAGAAAGGAGGAGGTGCCTTGAAGTAGCTGCAAGCTTCACTGTCCCTCCGCGTTGGACTTCTGCGACTCTGTCGACCAAATAATCCTTTTTATTTGTTTTCTTCTCTGCGCATTCCTCTGTTTCCAACTCAGCGTGTGCGTTCGTTCCCACCCACATCCACATGCCCCGTTTCGCATCTCTCTTGATTGCTCTCCCACTATTCACCAACAACTCAACAAACTCAGACTCAATCCACCCCCACGGCTACAGATTGGTGGATGCAATGTTTAGTTGAACGTTGATGATGATTGATGGTAATGATGATTCATAATTGGTGATTCTTTCTTTTTTTCTTACAGCCTGGCTGGCTAAGAACTTGGCGAGCAGGATGTTAGGGGCAAAGAATAGGAACTTGCTACCAAACCCTGACCAACCGTAAACAGAGGGTTGGGGGCATGGGCATTATTGAAAAAGCATCATGTTGTTGTTGTTGATGTTGGTGGCTAGCTCTTTGTCATCATCATTGATTGATTCATATGAAGAAAATCTCAAATTTTGAAAACGACCCATTTCTACCCTCTCTTCATCCGTCCAAACCCATGTTTTCAAATTTTGGATTTCGCAATCTTGTAGCTTCTCCGACCCCACTAGCTCGGGACAAACGGTAGCATTATTGACATTTTGATTTTCCAAGGGTGGTGGCCGATGAGAGAGGTGGAGGATGGATGCCCTGGTAATTTATTTACAAAATTGTTATTGCGTCCATCCAACGACTAGAATGCGAGCAATGTTCAATCTGACCGCTCACAACATCTGTGAGCAGGGGCTCGTAGATTGGGCTAACACAGGATTGCCCTTTTTGCTCTCCCTTTCCTACCCTAGTATGTTTGCAATTCCTAAATCAACGGAAAGGCGGTGGAGGGGTACCCCTGTTTGTTTTGCTTGGACTTGGATACTTCCCTTTTTTTCTGCCGTCCTTTGCTTTGATCACATATATTGCCCAGAAATTGTGCACGGGCCTATAATCCTCCCGGTACCACTCTCTGGTAACGACTTTTCATCAAAACTATCCTCATTGAGGCGAGACAAAAAGTGCACCAAATCCATTGCTTTCATCCATACTTCAATACCCAAATTGGAGCCAGAGATTCGCATCCACTCAACAGTGGGACGGTGGATCAACAGTTAATTGTTTAACCACTATTACTGGAATCTGTATTGCATTTGATTAATCAAATGTCTGAAAAACAAAATAGTGATTTGTTCGCAATCATGTGTGCTTCTAAACAAAAGCAAAAGTCAGATTGATTCAACAACAGATTGGCCCAGCCTTTAGAGAACGAATCCAAAGAGAATCAAGCAGGAAAGTAAAGCATTTGGGGAGGGAGGGATTTCATGATCAAATGGTGTGTAATCTTATAAGATATATCACAGAATCTACTCTCTTTCTCTATCTATGAAAATCAAGAAAAACTACAAACAAAAAGAAGAAAGAAAATCACTCCAGAGATACAGGCAAGACTGCATTTTTCGATGCTCTGTTATGCCCAAACGAAAAGAAATTCCTTCTGCTCCTGCTAAAACTACTGCTACCACCTTCAACTGGAATACCCACCTCACCATTCTGCCTATTACCACTATTACAACTGCTCTGCTGCTGAACAATCTCTTGAATTTTCAACAACAGCTGCCGATCCGCCGACGAATCCATCGAAAACGACCGTCGAATCGGCTGAATCCCGAACCGGTCCTCTTTCCCTCTCGTGAGATCGATACATTCATCTCCTTTACTCCTTATCCCTTTACTACCCAGTTTCCTGCCTTTCTTCTCATCCAAGGCAGCGCCGAATCTCGATTCGAGCTTTCGCGGCGTCGGCAGAAGCTCCCCTGAATTCATCAGCCTTTCCTGCGCCGCTCGCAGCGTCCGGTCCGTGGAGCTCTGCCGACTATTGGTGACGTAATTCCCCAATTCAATCACCACGTAGTCCTCGTCCCCGTCGATGTCGATCCTTTCCGGGTACGGAGTTGGGCTCGGATCCTGCGGAGAAGATGACCCAAAAGCCTGGCCTACCGGGAAAAGCAGCAGCCCAACTCCTGCCGCCGTGGAGGAGGTAATGCTGGTCCGGCAGAGCGGGCAGTTGGCGTTGCTCTGTAGCCAGACGTCGATGCAATCGATGTGGAACACGTGGCCGCAATTGGGGATCCTCCGCAGCTTCTCTTCTTCGACGAACTCGTTCAGACAGACGGCGCATTCCACGGAACACGTCCCTGCCGGTGCCGACTTACCCTGTTTTTCCTCCTGCTCTGTTTTGGAGTACTTGAAAACAGGGATCGACCTTATGACCGATTCTTCGAGTCCCCGACGCTCCATCGCCGAAGGGGAGTGAGCACCCATTAGTGCCTCCTCGTGAGCTCTGCCTCTCGACAGTGAGAATCTTCTGAGGATGTCGATTCGGTGCCAATTGAGGCAGCATTTGATGACGAAGACGTAGTAGCTGACGAGCAAGAACGCGGTGGCGACGATTCCGATCACGGCGATGGCTATGATGGGGAAGCTGGTGTCGGAGGGATGCAGCGCCGGGGCTGGAGGCGGCGGAGGAGGATCCATGGAGATGGGGGTAAAGATCGAAGCTTTACGAATCGGGATCCAATCTGTGAGTACCGGAGATGTTTTGGGAGGAGACAGGGAGCATGTTAATCTGGGGACATCATCAAAGCATGGGGAAGCAGAGAGAAAGAGAAAGAGGAAGAGAAGAAATCAGGTGGTATAAATGAAGGGAGAGGGAGTCTTAAATGAAGGGGGAAGGGTGAACGTCACTGAAATTCAACGAGAAAATTTTCCTCTTTTAAATTTTAATTCGCTTCATTTACTTATTTGATTGTTTTATGCTGATGGTATGAATCGGAAACTTAATGTAAATAACATAAAAGCTTTTTGTCATAACAGATTTGCGTCGAGTAATTCGTTATCTTTGGTGAGATTTTAAATTTAGAGATTGCGATTTTAATATCCTTAAATACGATTTTATTTTGTATAAATGATTGAAATTAAAAAAAAAAAATTGAAGGGAAGAAGTCAAGAAGGAGAAGTATGAACTCTCTGAAGAGCAGCTGTAGTAGTCGTAGTAGGACATAGTTGATAGTTGGCGAGGTTTTCTTCTCATTTTCTCTCTCTTGCTCTGTTCTCTCTCTCTCTATCACTCTGTTCTTTCTGGTCATGTAGACGTAGGTGTTGTTCCCATGGGGGAATTGAGAAAAAATGGGTCTACAATTTGTTTTTGTTTACTTGTTTTCTTTTGCTTGTAATTATCTGGAGTTTTCCCCCGTTTAAGTGTGTTTTTTTTAATTTGTTAAACGGTACTGTTGATTGATTAATAATTCCTCAAACGGGAAAAAAAGACACGGTTGGATTCATAATTCCTGAAGATATTGATAGGAAATTACATTTAAGCACCTAGAAGTTTTGGTATATTACATTTTGATATTTAAATTTTTACGTTTTACAAATAGGTCCAATTTTCTTATGTGTTGTTAAAAAAATCCTCAAGTAAATAGATATTCATACCCAATCAATACTTAATAAATTACGATGGTCTCATGTTTAAATCCACTAAATAGTATCTAATCACAAAAAAATCTATATCACCCTTATATATAAAAAAAAATAGTGGACAATTGTCATCATATTACGAAATATTAAAGCTGCCAAAAAAATTGGATCACCAACCTAACTCTCCTTACTAAACCGTTTGCGGAAGAAATACCAGAATACACTAGTTATTAAATTTTTTTTCCAAAATACAGTAGTTATGAAAATATTTCCCAAAATACAATAGTTTGATCAGCACCGCTGTCGACAAAGGCAGTGAATGTTATCACCGATGCATAGAAAAACGGTGAATGTATCACCGTTTTGGACAAAAGCGGTGAAACTATCACCGCATTGGAGAAAGACGGGGAAGCTTTAACCGTCTACGTGCACATCGATGAAACGTCAGATCGTGCTTCACCGCATCGGACGGCCACGGTGATAGCGCGGGTGACCAAGATTGATGACGTGGAAGTGCACGGATCGCGCTTCACCGTTTTCATCCCCGCGTTCCACATCATCAATCCTGGCCACCCGCGCCCTTCGCCGTTATCGTCCGATGCGGTGAGGCGCGAATTCTGGTTTTTCTCCCAGATTCGACGCATCAAAGGGAGTCACGTCATCGATCCGCGCCCTTCATCGTCTTCGAGGAACGCGGTTTTGCTTCACCGTCTTTGACCAGAGGTGAACGCTCTGTGGTCCTCCCTATAAATACCCTCCTTCCCCCTCATTCCAAACCACACCACCACTTTTATACTTCTTTCTCCCTTCATTACTTCACTCTAGTCTCGTTCTAAGTATGCTCTGTGGTTGCGGCTAAATCCGATCTTCCACATCAAAAAGAATTACTAGAGTTTTAATTTTGTTTTCAATCCTTTGCTTTAAAGTTCTGCGATACTCTCTCCAGCTTTTCGGCAAAAAATGGAGGCTTTGAGAGTACGATTTTTTTTTTCTTTTGTGATATTTTTCTAAATGGGTTTGAAATAATCTAATTTCATTTCACATTTGTTTATAGATGGGTGCTGAGATATAAGACTTTCGATTGTATATCGATCCTAACCCAAGGGATCGAAAATATTTAAACAAGCAAGAACAACATCGCTCCCGTGCAATTTGGGACAATAATCCGGTAGACACTCAGTACCATATAAAATTTTAAATTATTTCATTAGGTTAAAACCTTTTGTTTTTCTTTTTTTTTCCTAACAACATTGTATTTTTTGTTTTATTTTTTGTTTTGTAGGAATCACTTATGCCCATCAGTCATCGAGGGACATGTCGATTGTCTTTTTGGCATCCTCGACTGGAGCCCTATCTAGAGAGGACGGGATTGCACATGCTGAGGGACTTCATGAGACTTGATATCGAAAACGATCTGCTTACGGCAATGGCAGAGCAATGGCGCCCCGAGTTGCATACCTTCCACTTTCCCGAGGGGGAAATGACGGTCACTCTCAGAGATGTTGCCATCCTCACCGGGCTGCCGGTCACTGGAGAGGCCATCATCGACAACTCGAGTAAACCCGAAGGTTGTTGGGGGGCCGTTGATTCTCGAACGTTTGGGGTTCGACATGCCGATCACAACGCCCGTTCAAGGGATTGGGCATCCACCACTCAATGCGGGGCAAGTTTCGATCTGGTTGTTGAACACATCCAACAGGAGGTTAATTTAGGGCCAGACACCCCGAAGATCAAGTGGAGCAATATGCACGCGTCTACCTCATTGGGTTGGTTGGTGGATTTATGTTCCCCGACAAGGTAAATCGGTGGATACAAGGCATGTGGTTGTCGTTGCTCCTCGATGATTGGGACGAGATCGGGGGAAAGAGTTGGGGGTCGGCCGTATTGGCTGGGATCTACCGAGAGTTGTGCACTTGCTCAAGGTTGGGAGCAAAACAAGCTGGAGGTGCGATGTTCGTACTCCAACTCTGGGCATGGGAGCATCTTCCAATGTTCGCTCCCCGAGACCCGCGGGAATTCTGGGGTCCAGATGAGGAGCTACGTGAACTAGCGAATCCCCCTATGGTGTCAAGTAAGTTTAATTTACATACTAATTTTATTCCAAGTATGCAATTTTAATATTTTAGTGAATTTAGATACATTCCAAGTATGCAATTTAGCGAATTTAGATTCATTCCAAGTATGCAATTTTGGTGAAGTTAGATGCTTCCATAGAATCGAATTTTAGCGAATTTAGAGGTCGTTTGGAAGTTGTGATTGTTAGAGTTGTGTTTGTTGAATACATGTATTGTGCACAATACAATGTTTGAAAGTGTCAAAGTGTAAAACAATCCATGTATTGCTTTTAGATTTGTGTCAACTTTTTCTTTCCATTTATATCCCTAATAGTTTTTTTCTTATACTAAAAGTTGAGGGTAAATATGACATTTTCCTGTAAAAGTAACTTTATGTAAATCAATGCATAAAGTATAATCTCAACAACCAAACAATGTATTGTTAAAATGCATCCATTGTATCAATACATGCATTTATATTATGGTGATTCATTACAATGCAACGATTTAACATTCGCAACTTCCAAACGACCCCTTAGTGAATTTAGTGAATTCTCACATGCATAGCATAGCATATATTCTTTAAAAATATCTTATATACGTACTTTTTCTTAATAAGGTGGATCGGAGCAAATACAAATGACCACCAGCCTGAGCACTCTTTACTGTTTTATCGTGCTGAGTTTGATAAGCCTTGGTGGAACCAGGTAAAAATGTCAAATTGGATCATTTTAAATTTTTTAAATGGATTGGATACAGTTTGTACTAATTCCAAATCATTAATGAGTGTAGGTGACATGAGATCCATATCCACCTCAAGTGGGCGAGATTCATCTTCTTAGACACCCCTAGGATGTAGAGACGTGGTTGTGCAAGGTGCCCTTGATCTGTTGGCACATGGTGGAGTGACACCTTCCAGATCGAGCATTGAGGCAATATCGGATGGAGCAACCAATTCCAGCATCCCCACCTCAAGGGTTCAAATATCTCCATGCCATCGACCTATGCCACAAATCAAAGAATTGGATCCGTAAGCATGAGTTCTACATCAACATTTAGGAGAATAGAGCGACTTGGGTTGTCCAAGGTTTACCGGAGACGAGGCCAATGGGGTACCACGATGAATACATGGTGTGGTATCGGAAATTCACACTTAGATGGGTGTCAAAGCAAGGTGTTGTGTGGGGAGCGGTGGTAGGTGATTCCAATTCTTACTCTTTTGTCCCTAGATTACATGCTTAGATTTGAGTGATGGCAATTAACTTGATTAGATTCATTTTATTGCATTTTACAACTTATTCGTATTAGGTTGATGGCTTGGAACATGCCAAACACACTGTCGAGAGTGCACCCACCATGGACGAGCGGAAAAAATCTTTCATACGGAGGCTTTTCAACAACCTGCTCAGCTGTACGCAAGAGCAAAGGAGGGATATCATCATATACCCTCCAGTGCCTGCTCCGCCTCGACCTTCTTTCCTTGATGATGCGCCCATTGTGTCCCCAGCTGAGCCCCCACAGAGGAGTAAGAAAAGAGCCCAGCCAAACATTGAAAAGCCTCATCCGACTCAGCAAACACAACTGCCTGACCCATGCCCAGATCATGAGTGGTCAACTACAATGGAGGGCACTCCAGGATCGCCAAGCTATGCCCCGCAACAGGAATATGCCATGTTTCCTCAAGGGTTCCCTCAATTCCACCATCAGCAAAAAACCCCGATTTATCAAACACCGTCTCAACAGCCCACAGTTCAGCCCACATCTTCTGCCTACTACCGCTCTTCTGGTTCATCTCAGCCACCTCCACTGCCTAGCTATACTCCAGTCGGGCGTTGGGTTAAGAGGAATCCGCGAGCAGTCGTCCAACAGGCTAGTGAAGAAGGAAGAGGCAGAGAAGGCGGAAGAAGGGGTCGAGGACGCCGTGGAGGACGAGGACGAGGGAGAGAAAATGAAGGAAACCAATGAACTATCCATTTTATCTTTGTTTATTTATATCTTGTGTGTTTTCATTAAACTATCCATGTCGTCTTATTCTCTATTGTGTGTTTTCATTAAACTACCATTGTCAAGTTATGTCATGTGTGTTTTCGTTAAACTATCCATGTCGTGTATTTTTCTCTAGATGTATTGGTAATGTTTTAGTGGCCAGATCCATGTTGTACCAAGTCAAACATTAAATCCATCATCATTACAATCACTCAACAAGATTAATACTAGAGCTCCAACTTAAACACCATTACAACTAAATGACAATTACATACAACAACCTCAGGGTTGGACCTGGGCAACGCCTCTTGTCATGTCCCGGTTGTTTGCACTTCGAGCAGCGCTTAGGACCTCGCCTAGCATGTTGTGATTGATCCATCTCATTGTGAATCCTTTTGGTTCTAGGACGACCCTTGGTGCGCTTTAAGTGCAACGGTGGGATTATCAACTTCCCATTGTCTACAAGCCAATAAGCTTCATCTGGAAGGGGGATGAAACTAGACGAGTATGAGTTCTTGATCTCCTACTCGGTGAAGTAAGGACTCGCCAATCTGTAAGGGCTAAGGGTTATTGACTTAGATACTGCCATTGCATGTGAACACGAGATTCTTGTGTTTTGATACTTTTGGCATGTACACTCCCCGGTGCGAGTTTCTACGTGTAGAGTAACAGATTAACGATTGTGCCCACGTCTACCTCCTCCCCAAATACCTGTTTGAACAACAAAAGGACCTTCATTGCGGTTGAAAAGAACAACTCTATGCTTACTTGAGTTCTCTTCCTTCTTCTGCATGTCCGGAAAGACATGAAGTGCTATTGCATGACCAGCACGCTCCCTCCCTATAGCTTGTTGAAGTCTCTTCACAAACCACTCGTTTACCTTCCAGTACGTCATTTCCACTAGGACAGATACAGGCATTGCCCTAACGCCCTTGTATACTCCATTTATGCTCTCGCTGTGGTTGGTAGTTGCAATGCCGAATCTAGCCCCGTTGTCCATGTGGAATGTCCACATGTGCAGATCTTGACCTTCTACCCATTCCACACCAGCCCGGTGTATCTGACGGATCGTCTTCATCTTCTGCTCGTATTTTTTTGGTTGATGTGTAACCGCTTCAAGACCACAGAATAAATAATTAAGACATGAGAAATTTCATATGAAAAGTAAACCATGAACAAGCACATAATTACATTAGTACCTGAACTCCACAATTGATCTCTTATCTCTTTCTTCTTCCCAAATTTGAGCTGGAAATTTGCAAGAAAGTGTCAAATACACCAGCGCCATGTCTACCCCCATTAGGCGGGGAAACCATTCATGGCGTGCTTAATCCCGGCATGTCGATCGGATATAATTGTAATACCTATTCTTTGTGTGACGTGGTGGTGTAGCTAGTCAAAGAACCTTGCCCAACTTAAGTTGTTCTCCCCTTCAAATAATGAAAACGCCAAGGGGAAATACTTATATTTCCATCAACGCCAGTGGCAATGAGAAGAGTTCCTTTGTACTTCCCAGTAAGGAAAGTTCCATCAACTTGTTAAAAAGAATTTTAGTTAGTATAAATATTACTTAGTAAAAAAAAAATGAAATAGAACAACAGTGTTTAGACCGTAATATACCTGGATAACTGGCATGCAGAAGGCAAAACCGTCAATGCATGGCTTGAAGGTCCAGAACAGACGATGAAACATCAATTGTTCTGTACTCGAACTTGATCCTCAGTGTATACATTGTTGTAACAGGGCACGAAAACAGTCTCAGGGTTGGACTCCTCCATTGCGGCCATTAATCTAGGGAGTAAAGCATATGAGTCGTCCCAATCACCATAGACCTCAGCCATGGTCTTATGATTCCCATGCCACGCCTTATTATACCTGATCGTGTAAGTGTCGATCCTTCACCTCGGCCATGATAGCTTTGATTTTGATATCTCGTTGTGCCTCGATCAAGTGCTTAATGGTTCTTGCCACTTTCTTTGCTTTCAGCTGCCGGTGATCCTGGGACAGTATGTTTGAGGAGCAGTTGTGGTTGTTCTCTGCTGGCCGAATGACCCATACCCCTTTCTCTTCATATTTGCAGCCCGTTGTTGCCACAAACAACCCTCTTCAGCATTCTTGCAAATGACATGTAGTTGTTTGGTGTCAGAATATTTTAACTTCCATTCGAAATTGCGCCGCATGGCTTCTTCGGTAAAAGCATCTTGAACATCGACTTTCGAAGTGAACGCCATACCCACCTCCAAACTGGCAGTCGGATTATACACAGGCATAGGGAAAAAGTCAGGGGCATCGTTCTGACTATATGAAATTGAGATGGAACCTCTGTGTAGTAAGGCGTTGGTGCCTCACGGAACGCCACTTCGCTGTCCTCGATATCGTCCGTATCTTCATCCTCATTGACTGATTTCAAATCTTCCTCACTTTCCTCGTCGCTGGAGGCAAATGGATAGTTCGGCTTAGAAGGATCATCGATACCATCATAACCAACATCGTCTTCTCGGTCATGCGAAGTACGTCCAGTTCGAAGGTGGTTCTCAAATCTCAATGTCAGCCTACTTTGGCCCCCAAGCAGGCCATTGATCACTGTTGTGCTCAACGAACTACCTCCTCCGTAGTTGCTTGAACTACCACCCCAGCCGTACCCTCCTGCAAAACCATCATCACAAGAATACTGGTGAGAATGGGTTTCACTGACCGGCTCGGTCTCGACATACACTTCTGCAAGCCGCATCCCGTTGTCAGACAGGAACTGTATCATCATGTTGACTGCGTCATCATCATTTATGACAACTTCATCGTACATAACTCCGCCAACACTCATGTTTGGATACCGGTAAGTAATTTGACCAACTCTCCTTTGCCCGTCCATACAAGTCCTTTCTGCACAAATGTCACGGAGTTCTTGCCACGTGAATCTCGACTCAATTTTTAGCATAGTGGATTCGCCATTTTCATAGTCGATCCCAAAGTCCTAGTTGGTCACCCGACCATTCCACCGGACAATAAGCTGAAACTTCTTAAATTTACCCATGTCTGTAAATTACAATAAGTAAATATTAGCTTAACTCAAATAAGATTAGTATAGTATAATTAGTACATTAGGGATACAAAAATAATATCATCCAAACCGATTAACAACCGCAACTAACTGATCTATCATGAGAAAACTAAACAAATTCATCTAAATTCATAACTAACTAACATCAATCATACCATAATTAATCTAAATATCTCTAACGTAACATATTTGCCAATAACCGAAATTCACTAAATACAGACATATAATTACTAATATATCAACATGTAAACAATACATAATTATAACATATCGAATCCTGGTGAGTTTCTTGTTGCTGCAAGCCAACTGAGAAAAGGACAAAAAAGCACTAATTTTGTACTGAATTGTTGTAAGGCAGATGGAGATACGTGAGGGATGGGTTTTTATAGCAAAATATAAGGGCTAATCACCGCACTGGACAATTGCGGTGAACACATCACCGCTTTCGACCAAGATGGTGAAAGATAGGTCGTTGTGACCTAATTTTCAACCTACCAGGGTTGTTAAACGTGGTAAAAGATCCCCATTTTTTACGACAACGGTGATGTATTCACCGTTTTTACAGACGCGGTGAAGGTATCACCGTTTTAGAGGAATGCAGTGATTGTTCATCGTTTTTTATTATCGCGGTGAATATATACATCGTTGTCTAGTAAGGCGGTGATAATATTAACTGTCTTTGTCTACAGCGGTGATGATCAAACTGCTGTATTTTGGGAAATAATTTCATAACTACTGTATTTTGAGAATTTTTTTTAAACTAGTGTATTATGGGATTTTTTCCACAATTTGCTTTTTCAAAAGGAAATATCATTATACCAAACAAATTGGGTTTGTTTTCACATTGCTTTATGTTAAAGTTTAATCCGTCATTATGATACTCATCATGCCATAGTGATGACCTAACCAAATTGGGTAAATGGCAAGTTTGGTCACTTGAAATACTATAAAATTTCACGTTTGTCATTGGAATTATTTTATTCCATTTCTGGTCACTTAGATTAGTTCAACGTGTCTATTTAAAAAATAATACTAATCTGTTTATCGTTCCTCCGCAGCGGCCGTCGTTATCTAGATCGGATGCGGTGTTGTTGTTATCCCGATTGGCTACTTCCGGCTTCGCAACCGTGGTTTTGGACTCGCGATCCGGATCGAGATCTGAGGTGAAGGACCATGATTTGATGGTGTGTGATTGCTGCACCAACGTCGTTGATGCGGAGAAAACGAGATTTACCATCCAATCCATCAGATCGATTCTGTAATTCAAATACATAGACCAATAGTTGTATATATATCCTGTTGGGAATGAATAGCTTTGAAAGCTATATTGAATTAATTATCCCGTATTCTTTCTAGATACGAAAATAAGGATAATTAATAAAAAGAATATTATGGAGATAATTAGGATTAATTATCTTAATATAATATAATATATTTTAATTATGGAAGTAATTATCTTCCTAATTAAAATGTGGCTTATTCCCAAAGAAAGAGGGAATATTCTAGGTTTTCTGCTCCTATAAATAGCAGACCCCTAGACCCTCTAAACACACCTCAGAGAGCAGAAACACGAGATAGAGAGTGAGTTCATAGAGCTCCGGTTTTCGCACAAAACCGATGAGCAACAAAAATTAGAGTGGCTGTTTTATCCTGGAGGCGACCGGCTGATAGTCTGCCGTGCGCAACGAAGGCAGTGCCGCGAACGTCTTAAAGAGAGCGACCTAGTCCGCGACTCAGCCAGATCGATAACCCTGATTTTTCCTGTTCGATTTCTAACAATTTTAAGACGTTTGGTGGCTGTCGTGTGTATCGAATAGGATGCCGATTCTGGATATTATACGTGCGGACGGAAGCATACAGTCATGGAGTCAGAAAGCTATGAGAGAAATCCATGATCAATAGCTGCGAGGGGATTGAATGCAACCGTAGCTCAAGTCGCTTCGCCTATTATGGCCTCTGTTCCCTCCCTGGCCAAATTAATAGGGAAAAGAAACCTCGACTAATTGAGATGCTGACCACGTACTTCAGCAGAAACAGCAATAGAAGAATTGGAAACTATGTTGCAACACCGAGAGCCAGCGGAGATTGATTAGAACGAAGCTTTTGGATTTTCCAGGCGATTTTTGAGATGCGCCCCCATTGAATTTGGTTTGCGGTGATATCGCAAGAAGAAGCGGGCGTACAACAACAAGTTCCCGGTGCCGTCGAGGGATGACGATGCTGATCAGACACGTTTCCCCCACCAAAAATATAAATACAAAAAAAAAAAAAAAGAGAGAGAAAAAGGAAAAGAAAATTGGCGATCAGAATTGGAGAGAGGCAGGTTGCATTCCACCGAACAGAACCTCTCCCAAGCAACCTAGATTGCTCGAGCAATAAGCATGGGTTGACTACCAATCAATTGAGACTGACTTCACCGCCAAAGTAGAAAGAAAAAAAAAATGGAGGCTGTGAATATTAATATGTCCACCAATCATATTGAGATTGAATAATTGCTTGCTAGCAGGGAAATTCTCTTTCGTGTCTCGGTGGAAAGTAGGGTTAGAGCATGCAGTCCTCGAAGCATTGGAGCTCTTGCATGATGAGAAAAAGGCAGAGCAATGGAGTCATTCTCTCTTTGCCCGCGGAGCTTCTTATTGATTGGATTTCGATGATCATGCCCAAATATATGTGCTGAGCCCACTCCTTAAACAAGCTTGAAGATCATGGGCTTCGAAATCCGGCCTATTATAACTAGGATTGGGTACTTCAAGAGGAGAATTTGTAAGTGGACAGTTTTGTCCGAACTAGCATGGTGCTAGCAAAGTCCCAAGAGGCTTCTCGGAAAAGAGGTTAGAATTCATACTTTTTTTTATGAGTCATTTATTAATGACAAATTAGAATCTACCATATGCATGGAATTGAGAATCATTATGAATGCTAGAAATGAAAATCTAGAATTGATGCATGTTGACATTGAGATTTATTACCTCGATGATTAGAAATTGAATACATGCTATGAAAAGTATGATTTTGTCTAAATGTGTACGTTGAAGAGTATATGGGAATAGAATGGGTTTATTGCCCATAATAACGATATTGTAAGAAGTACTATTATTAGTACTACACGAACCACTTAGGCTGCTCTGAAACGTTAAAGTTTCAAGAATGAGAGCAGCAAGCCGAACCAGATCCATATCAAATAGAATGGTACCCTTTGTGGTAACCATAAGATTGTCATCCAATCCTCTAAGAATGACGTTATGTTTCTCTGTGAGAAACTAGGTCATAAGACACGAAAGTGTAAGAACAAGTTTAACCTAGTGTTAACTTGACTAAAGAAGAGGATTTGGTAATAATATTCACTGAGGTGATGACAGAGGTTAGCCTTAATGGTAACTCTGAAGAATGGTTGTTGGATAGGACCACTTCAAGATATGTGTGATAAACGAGCTAAGCTCAATCATACATTGACGCGTATTGAAGGAGAAAGTGTTGTTGGGCAAGACCCTCACCACTATTGTTGATGGTTCTGGAAAAGTGGAAGAGAATCCTGCCTCTAGAAAGTCATTGACTATCCTAGATGTAAGGAATGGTTAAGTAGATAAGATAAATTCTTCCAAGAGTGAAGAATTAGAATATCTTATATCGCATTCCCATACTATTATTGGATGCTTGAGAAAAATATGAATTTTCTATATCCAAGCTAAATGACCCATAAATATGTGATTAGAGAATCAGAATTAATAGATCTGATTTATGTGGGTAAACTTGATGGAAAAGACAATAAATGATTTATTGCTCTTTAGAGTGCTCTGGTTGTCTAACTAGTTATTCGAAATAGTTTGAAATGCCTAGTTGCATTATAATTGCACTGATTATTCGATATGTGACATGCATGTGGTAGCATTAGAGAATCAGTGACATGATAACTAGAAGAGCATATGAGTGTGTAAGTTACTGTAAAACACATAAGCCTATGGAAAGAAATACTCATTAGTTTGTGAAGACCATTGATGCCAATAGATTTCATTTATATTAAGAAATAGTAGGGGTGATAACCTGCCTACTATTAGAAATAATGGATAACTAGTGGGGGTGATGAATCTGAGTATGAACTCAGAAGAGACAAATGAACCATAAATCACGAAAGGATTTTGGTTATGAATTTGTTATTTACACCCTAAGAAAGAAAGATCCTACAAGTCTGCTAGAAGTTCGAACTTCCATAAAGATGCAGAATTGTGGGAGAATCCATTATTATCGAAATGGAATTATTGGAGTCTAATAAGACTTAAAATCTTGTAGAATTACCTCTTGGTTGAAAAGCCTTGGGTAATATATATCGATAGAATCGAACAAGATTTGGCATATTTGAGAATTACCTCTTGGCAATGATGCCAAGGTAATAAATGGATTCCTAAAAGAAAAACTGATACCTGACGGTTTAGTTTATGAGTATAATGATCGCCTAGTAGCGAAGGCTTTAGGTGAAGGGAAAATAAATTGTAGATTTCTTTGATATCTATTCACCAATATGTAGAATAACATCCATCACGTGGACGTTAAAATACTTTTTTGAATGGTGATTTGAATAAAGAAATCTACATTGGGACAATCTTAAAGATTGTTATTCTAGAACATGCTTCTGGAGTCTATGGTTAGACAAATCATTATATGATTTGAAATAGACTCAGAATTAGTGTCATGAATAATCAAATTCTCTCTCATGGTTTTAAAAGTGAAAGTGACAAGTGCATTTAGTACAAATTTGAGAATGACACTTGCATTATGAATGACACGTCGATCTTTGGGTACAAAGACTCGTGATGTCAATATTGAAAAACCATGATGGTTGAGAATTTTGAATGTGAAGGATCTGTTTGAAACAAATGTTATTCTTAGAGATCCTAATAACTAGGAAAATACAAGATGTACACCTGCATACATGTTTGTTGGTGCTAGTATAAATATTTAAAGAACACCTAAGACGGTGTAAGAAAGTTAGAATATACTAGCATTTACAGTCTGCGAGAGGCAGCTGATAAACATGAGACCCGATTTAGTGGGGGTACTTGGCAGGATTATTGATTGTCCTAGTATGAAGCATTGAAATGCTATTGAAAGGGTCATGAGACACCTTAAACGAACAGAAAAAACCTTGGTATTTGTTATCAAAGGTTTTGCTGTATTGGTAGGGTATAATGATGCGGATTAGAATACCCTATAGAAGACTCCAAGACAACAAGATGATGTGTTTTAAACGTCGATAGAGAAGCTATGTCTTGGAAGTCTAAGAAGTAAACGATCCTGGCTCAATCAACTAAGAAATCGGAAATGATAGAACTAGCAATGGCTAGTAAAGAGGAAAGTTGATTGGGAGGGTCACTACTAGAAATTCCCTTATGGGAAAGACCGATCCCTCCGGTAGTTGATTAATTGTGATAGCACCGCAGCTATTGCAATAGAAGGGAACCGGTTCTAGAACGAAAAGAGACGACAAAGTTGTCGTAAGCACAGTACTGTAAGAGAACTCCTAACGATAGGAGCAATGAGGGTGGATCCTGTAAGGTCCTAACAGAATCTAGCTGATCCTTTGACGAAAGGGTTATCTAGAGAGAAAGTCCAAAGTACCGCGAAGGGTATGAGACTTATGCCTACCGAACCACGGACTACAAGTGATGGTAACCCGACCCAATAGACTGGAGATCCCAAGAAATGGGTTCAATGGGTAATAACAAGTCATGAGTAGTATGCGAAAAGTTCATGCATAGTGAAGCATGAATCCCAAAGCCTTAGAGGTTGAGTTAAACTCTTAATGAGATCTATACTCTATGTGGAGTGAAGTACTTTACTTTGGGGGTACTTCTGATAGACTCACCTATGTGAATGTGGGAGTGGGGCCGCTCCCTATGGAACTTTGGAGGCACAAAGTTGCTAGAGCGTTCACTAAACCGGGATAACGTGCATGGCCATAAACGCACGGCCTATGAGAGAATATCACTCAATGAAAAGATCCGGTGTGCTACATTGTCTGAGATAGGGTTCAAGACTACGAGTCACCCTTATGAAATCGGAAGTGTAACCACTACGCTAAGGTTCAAATCTTCGCGATACCTTAGCTTATGCCCGATCTTATGGATCTGTTGATGCTCAGAGATAGTTTCAAAACTATTCAAGTGGGGGATTGTTGGGAATGAATAGCTTTGAAAGCTATATTGAATTAATTATCCCGTATTCTTTCTAGATACGAAAATAAGGATAATTAATAAAAAGAATATTATGGAGATAATTAGGATTAATTATCTTAATATAATATAATATATTTTAATTATGGAAGTAATTATCTTCCTAATTAAAATGTGGCTTATTCCCAAAGAAAGAGGGAATATTCTAGGTTTTCTGCTCCTATAAATAGCAGACCCCTAGACCCTCTAAACACACCTCAGAGAGCAGAAACACGAGATAGAGAGTGAGTTCATAGAGCTCCGGTTTTCGCACAAAACCGATGAGCAACAAAAATTAGAGTGGCTGTTTTATCCTGGAGGCGACCGGCTGATAGTCTGCCGTGCGCAACGAAGGCAGTGCCGCGAACGTCTTAAAGAGAGCGACCTAGTCCGCGACTCAGCCAGATCGGTAACCCTGATTTTTCCTGTTCGATTTCTAACATATCCTACCTACTATGAAAAATACTCTAGCCATTTTCCCTATACCAGGTACCTTTGTCGTTGTCGATGGCGAAGGTGAAATCAGTGGTGAAGTTCGCGACGACGCTAGTGGAGGCCCATTTCAGGTGGAGGGTGGTGGGGGAAGGGGGGATAGATAACATCGATATATGGGTCGTCGAGGAGGGACTCGTAAGAGTCGTAGATTTTGGCGTCAGGAGGGAAATCGTTGGCCTTGGAGAATTCGGCTGGCGACGACGGTCATTTGTGCGTTTGGGGCTAAATTTATCGCCCGAGGTACGTGCGGGCTTTGTCATTAGAGCCAGTGATTCCGAATGGGATGGTTGGTTCCGGCGACGGCATGGTCTGGTTTGGGTTATCGCCGAGAGAGCATCTGCCTCCGAAAACCAGTTTCCGCTTCCAACGATGGCGAGAGCTTAAAAGAAATTAGTTTTATTTTTTTATTGTTGAATGGGTTGAGATAGTGTGGTGGAAATTTGAAAATATTAAGTTTTTATTTTTATTATTTTTTAAATATAGAAACGTCAGTTATTTAACGGTCAACTATGAATGTTGACCGTCGCATAGGATACAGATAACGGAGACTAACGGAGAATGACCAAATTTGAACCATTGAACTAATCTAAGTAGGGATGGCAACATGGCTGATTAGGGGCGGGTACATGCCTCCCGATCCCCGCCCGTCAACCTCGATGGATTTCCCCATCCCCGTCCCTGGCGACAAAATGGGGGGAGATTGGCTATCATCCCCATCCGCCGACGGGTTCGGGCAACCCACGGATGCCCACTAAAGTCCCAAACCTTGTATCCAATGATCAATTAAAACCGGCCAAAAATCTCCACTGATTCAATTTGAAACAAACATGAACAGTTTTCTTGGCAAGATATGGGAGGGACCACAGATAAAAGCCGAGATGAGTAGTATTTTTACCAGGCTGCACTCGGGGAATCAAAAACGCACTCGGGGTCGACGAAGAGCTTGTAAAGCGCTTCAAAAATGCTCTCACCTTTCTCACCGAAATCAAAGTCCTCATCAGCGAGGACGTTCAAGATGTAGTCGACGGTAGGCTAATCGACGTCCTCGACTCGCTTGCCTAGCTATCACTTCGTGCACTAGTGAGCTTGCCACTTCCCTCATGGCTACAATAATAGAAGGAGCAGCTGAAATGGTAAATAGGGAAAGCTGTGATTGATATGTTGAACGCGGCCGTTGTTAGACACAAAGGAAAGGAAATGGGGTTCCTAGGGTTTCTGGATCCTTCTTTTAGGTTGTATACCTATAGTCCAAAACTACATCGTTTTGGGGACGGGCGGGGACGGGGCAGATACTACGAGATCCATCCCTACCCGTTGCCCGCTACTGTCGGATTTCGGGCACATTCGAATTCGCCCTTTACCCACCAAGGTCGGTTATTTTGAACCCCGTCTGAACGGGTTTCGGTTGGATATCCTACGGGTCGTGTAGGGTTGCCATCCCTAAATCTAAGTGACTAGAAATTGAATAAAATAATTCCAGTGGCAAACGTGAAATTTTATAGTATTTCAAGTGACCAAACTTGCAATTTACCCTAACCAAATTTTAAACGGTATGAAAGCTAAACATCTATTTGGCCTGACCCAACTTTTTGAAGTGTTTTCTATTTCAGAAAGGGAAGTAGGATCAAACACTTATAAAAACTCGACTTTTTGAAAAGCTGAAGAGTGTTTTTCTATAACATAAAAGGCATTAAAAGCATAAGCTCTGAATAAGGGAAAAAAGTGTTTTGAAAATACAAAATTATTTTTATCTTTTTTTTTTTTGTAATCAGCGACCGCTAAGAGCGCAATCCTTACCATATTTTAGTTTTATTTAAGAAAATATAATTTTCTTTCAATTATTTTATAGAAAAAATCCAACGATATCCATTTTGAGTTTTTGACTACTTTTTTCTTTTCTTTTTAGAGCTTTTATTTGTATTTTATATTATAAATTATTTTTAGTAATTTTACATGACTCCTTATATTAAAAAACACTTCTAATAGTTTTTCAGCCATACACTCAATTGCTTTTTAAAAAGTAGTTCTCTAAAAGCTAAAAAAAGCAGTTGCTTCTACAAAATTTACACAAAACAACCTATTGTCAAGGTTTATCTTTTTCTCTCTTTAATATGCAAATGTAGTCATAGCCATAGTTGTAGTTTTTGAGCTCTCACTGAACTTCCATAATAGTAGAGTTCATTTAGATTTAGATTTGTCTCTTAGATCATCAAAAACATCGAACACCTTTGTTTGAACTTTGTTTAAAGAAATGTGGGCTGTGTTTAGGAACGTTTGGTAAGAAGTCAAAGATGCAAATCAGTTCTGTATAAGTCAAATTTTCTCATCAGAAAACAAATTGGCACACCTGATGGAACTTGTACTCACAATCGTTTGATTAGAAGTCAATGGTGCAAATAAATTATGTTCAACTAAAGTTTTCTCGCCATGAAACACATAGTCTACCATCACAACTAACTCCTGCAGTTTTACTCATAAATTTATCTTTATAGCGGACATTAAATTTTGATCAACGATATTCTTGTATTTTCGTATAAATTTATATATTTTAGTATAAACTCCAGGTAAATGGTACAAGAGCTTATAGCTATATGATTGAGCTCGACTTGAACATGAGTCCATATGAATGTTGTGTGTATCACGACTAGTTTGATGATGGTTCACTGATTTATGCGCTTTATGAATGTTCAAGTAGATATGGTATTTGATGGAGAATTCAAGTGAATTTTTATCTAGCCTACGAATGGGAGGCACGACGATCTTGTCTTTTCATATTTAGGTTTAAGATAAACGTGTCTATATAAATCTCAGTAAATCTCTCTACAGACTACACTATCCCCAAAATAATGAAATTGGCGTTAGATCTCCTGAACTTGGACTACCTAGCTAACACATAATCATGACAGTGAATCACATAAATATGCACATTCACTTACTTTCTTTGCTGGTTGTCCATTCCATTATACCACGGTCGGACTTCATTCTTATATTGTACCATATGTCATCGTTGTTGAGTTGCTTGTTATTATCAACGAAGTAATCATAAAATAAAATTGTATAACTGCGGTAGCTTCTTTAATCTAACACTTACCCACTAAATTAAATTCAAATTCCAATTACCTCATAACTCTGAGAAAAATTCATTAAGTATCATTGGAAAGCCTAAAGATCAACCCACAGGAGCTTTGCTACTACTTATCAATCTCAATTGTTTGACACAATATTCACATTCATCTGTTAATAGAGGAGCTCGATTACCTCCTGTAGATTTAATATGTAAAGGCCGCAGTCGTTGGTGGTTGGATAGCTCATAGCACTCTACTCTAGCTAGATGTCCATAAGAAAATTTTTTATTTATAAACAGTGGATTCCTCATCGACACAGATTCTTAAAAGAAATTATAAGAGAGGGCCCCTGTCTTGTCAACAAAGCGATCGGCAGAATTCTAACAAGTCAAAGCTGGAGCTGGATTTTTGGAGTTCAAATGCAATCTCCTGATCAGCAAATTCATATAAATGCAACCGACACCCTTCGCCGTGTGCGTGTTGACGAATTGTAAGAACGACAGAAGAAAGAGGTACAAAAAACTGATCATAAAAGCTTCCCTTTTGGCCCTTTAGATTAGAAACTTATTTGAGGCCCAGCTTTTTTTGTCGAGGGGAAGAAAAAAGAATGCAAAGAAAGTAGCGGCCGATTTGGTATATCTCGGCAGTCAGTCAGAAAGCTCCATCTACCACCCGCAAGAAACTTCCGCTCCTTTACGACCAAAACTTGTTGTCCTTCTCGCAAAGATTGAACCCAACTCCAACGGTATAATTAATCCTACAGGTGGGGCAAAGACACCGCTATTGTTACATTCGGCTGAGTTTGTGGTTACGTGACTAGATAATTAACATAAAACGAGGATGGAAGCCCACGGTTCGCAATGGGGTTACTGATTTGTTGTTGTAAAGTGAATCTTTTTTTAAGTGAATTATAAATTAAAACTAAATATTGAAATAACCCGTTCTTTTGTACCGGTAATCGAAATTAAGCTAGAATGAAGAAAAAAACTTAATAATAGAATGTTGAGTCATAGTTCGATTATTGTAGACTAAGAAATAAAAATCATTCCCTCATGTATTTTGTTGTTGGAGTTTTTCCTCTCGTTTGTTCTTCCTTTTGGTTCAGTAGTCTTGCTGAGAAGGAGGAGATGTGCAGATGGGAGAGAGAGGAATGAGAGAGAGAGAGAGAGAGAGAGAGAGAGAGAGAGAGAGAGAGGAGGGAATTAAATGAAAATAAAAATAATTCCGAACTAATCAAAATGAGTCCACATAAACATAATTACCCTAATAACACAAAAACTCCTCCTATCTTTGGTTAATTACAAAAAGAGCACTTTTTGTGATGTGATTCTACGAAAAAGTGTTTTAGAACTCTCTCTAATAAGGTTGATATTCGGGCGGTGATTTACTTTTGTTTGGGCCATGCTGATTAGTCCGACAAAGATCCGGCCTGGAAGCTTCGGTTTAAAACAGTAGAGCCCCGGTCGGACTTTTTTTCCCCAGGCCCCAGCAAGCACCCTCTCGCCCTGACCCCAACCTTATTTGTTCCCTTGAGCTAATCCTCTTGCAGGAGCTCGGACAGTTCGAGCGTTAGAAGTAGCAGAGTCAAGGTAGCATTCCCTGTTAGTAGTACTCTTGTATAGAGATTAACGATCTTTTATCCTATAATGAGCAGAATCTAATTAGATGGAAAAAAGAGAGGATAGAGAATCCGTGGTGATGAGTTTATCCCTTTTCGAGGTATTTATTGTATTCCTTTTTTTACTATATCGCACTATGTATTATTTAATAACCTAAGAAATCCTTTACCCTTGCTTTAATCAAATCCAATTTAAAATTTTAAGATGCAATGCAAAATGTACCGGTGGATGTTAGGAATTTGAATCTTTCAAATCTATATAAGGGGTTGTTTCTAGGGGCGGATGTAGCCAAGTGGATAAGGCAGTGGATTGTGAATCCACCATGCGCGGGTTCAATTCCCGTCATTCCCCCACAACTCTAGATCAGTAAAAAAAGAGAATTAAGATAGGTCAAAATAAAAATAACATATATATATATATAGTCAAATCTAGTAAATTATATTACTTTATTAGATTACTTTACTTAATTATTTTCAAATTATTTCTATTTCAAAATTGAGATTGCG